GTCTCTCTCTCTCAAAAATAAATAAACTTAAAAAAAAAATTAACAACAACAAAAAAGGAGATCTGGACACAGACACGGGCAGAGAACGCCATGTGACGACACAGGGTCGTACAGACACACGGGGAAGACGGTCACGGGAACATGAAGGCAGAGATGACAGCGATGTTGCCACAAGCCAAGAAAAGTCTGGGTCCGCCAGAGGCTGGAAGAGGCGAGGAACCCGCCCCAGATTCTTCAGAGAGACCGTGGCTCCACCGACACCTTGATTTCAGGCTTCTGGCCTCCCCGAGCCACTCACTTCGTGGCCCTTTGGCAGTACGGCCCTCGGAAACTTACACAAAATAGAACCATCCCAGACACGAGGAGACGGAGAAGAAACTTCCACCCATAAAGGGCTTTAAATACGCATGTGGGAGCGAGAGCACAGCACAGCGATGGGCGACAGGGCAGACCAGTTATTGACGGTTAAAAAAGAAGAGAAAGAAACGAACTCAGGCCACCTCTCCTTTAAAGACACACAGGACTTCTTTTCAGAAATGCACCGAACCAGCACGGTCACCACCACGGAGAACCAACGATGAGGCAGCCTGGGAGGGGCCAGAGGACCGGATGGCAGGTTCCTCTGCACCTGAACCCTGGAGACGGTTCGTTTCCGGTGCTCGCACGCCCACGGGTGCTCACTAGTTCTCTTGGGGCCTCAGCACTCCCCCCCAAAACGGGAATGAAAGCCACAGGTCCTTCATGGTATTGCGGGGTTCACGGCACGGTCTGCAGGTGTGGGCCTGGCACACCACAGGGACTCCGGTTCACTGGGTTGGAAACGAGTGCCTCGGCTCTCCCTGATTCGGCCCTGCACACTCTGCCACTCCGCCCCACCTGCAGTGGGCCCACCGGGCCCTTGGCTGGGTACTGGCGACCCTCCCCACCCTCTCGGGGTCGGTAATTGCATTTGTATGCTATCACTAGAAACAACGGCTACCATTCACGGAACACCAGGACCCACGGGGCACAGAGCTGGGCAGTTTGCACCCGCTCTTCTCTACCACGGGTACCGTTCTGGCTCCCGGGCTGCCGGGGGGCAGGTGTTCTTCCCATTTATAAGATGGGGACAGTGGGGCTCCGAGAGGAACGGGCAGAGCACAGATAGCAGCCTAAGGACACCCACACTCACCTCCCTCCCACAGTGTCGACTGTCAGTTCACCCACAGGGCCGGGGGTGGGCTGATTTGTCTCTGTCCCCCCAGCACCCAGCCGGGGCCAGGCACAGTGAAGGGGGCTCGAAATGGTCTGCGGAACAGGCGAAGGAGCCAGCTGGCCAATCCGCCCCCGGCACAGAAGCTGGGGCTGCCTGCTTCCCAACCCTAAGAAATACTAAGCCCTTTGCCTTAGAAAAATCAAGAAATACCTGACGTCAGATGGTCTTCCTGTTACTTCCTCCTAGAAGAGGGAAAAAAAAAAAAAAAAAAAAGCTAGGTTAACAGTAGCCTGCAATGAACTTGACAGGTCACCTCTCTAGTGGTTCCCAGGAACTGCGCGTTAAAGCCGTTCGGTCTGCTGCTTTTCAAACTGAACATCAGAAAACCTAACCCAGAAAAACAGTCAGTTGTGTGCTGATCTCTACGCTGACCGTGCTCGAAATCATAGCGGACTGTGGTCACCTCCTAAGGTACGTCAGCCAGGCAAAGGCATTCGGAAACCAGGCGGTTGGCAATTTTCAGAACACGACGTGGGACCCACTCCTGGGGCCAGTGGGTGGGACGTTCGTAAGCTTGAGGACAGGCTGGCACAGGAATGGCCCTGGGGTCTGTGCTTCGACAGCCTAGCTTCTTTCTCACCCACCCCCTCAGCACCGACAGCCGCTCTGTGCTGGGTCCATGACAGGAGGCACAAAGCTGCCTGGGACGAGGTGCCTGTGGACGGTGTTGATCCAGGGAGGCAAGAAACACACCCCATCCGCTGAGGGCCCCAGCGGCAAAGTACGTCGGCGTCCCAACAAAGCTCAACTGTGGTCCTGAGGGGGAAGTAGCTACTAATTCATCCAGCAGCAAATCGTGCCAGCTCTACTCCAGAAGATTCCAGATCTGTCTATGTCTCTCCCCAGCGTCCCCGTAATCCCAGATGACCACGGCAGGCTCCCGCTGGCTTCCCTAGTGCCGGCCGCACCCCAACGCACCCATTCTCTGCCCGGCAGCAGACTGACCCCTTTCACACGCACCAAGCAAATCGCGTCACCCTGCCCCTAAGCCTCCAGGGGCTTCCAGAATAAAGCACCCAGAATAAAGCTGTCAGTCTGCCGATGACTTGCAAGGCGGACCCCGTGAAATCTAGGTTTCCCGTCACCTCTCGGGCCTCGTCTCCAGCACCCTCCCCACGCGCCAGCTCTCTTCAGCTGCTCACACCCACCAAGCCGCATCCTGTTTTGAGGCTTTGCTCTTCCCCCTGCATCTGGCCCCTTCGCAAAGGTCAACCTTTCCGAGTGGCCTTCCCAATTCCCAACCACTCACCACGCTGTCGCTTTGCTTCCCGGTGGCACCCCGGCTGTGCCCAATCGTTCGGTCCGGGGCCAACTCAAAGCATGGCCCGTGAACCGGCAGCAGCCGCACCACCAGGAGCTTGTTAGAAAGACACATTCCTGAGCTTCCCCCAACCCCTACACCGACGCACACGCTCAGACTCTCTGGGGGTGGGGCCCAGGAATCTGTATCTTAATAACCTCTCAGGTGAGATTCCTACCCTTGCCCAAGTTTGAAAAGAACTGGTCTAGGGGCGCCTGATGGCTCAGTCGGTTGAGTGTCTGACTTCAGCTCAGGTCGTGATCTCACGGTGTGTGGGTTTGAGCCCCGCGTCAGGCTCTCCGCACTGTCAGCACAGAGCCTGCTTCTGAACCTCTGTCCCTCTCTCCCTGCCCCTCCCCTGCTGGTTCTCTCTCTCAAGACTTACCCAATAAACATTTTATAAGAATCTTCAAAAAGAACCGGTCTAGTTCATGAACTCGGTTCCCCGGTGACTCCCTATCTTTGACACACATATCTCCCACCAGGAGAGCAGACATGTTGTTCCGCATTATTGCCTACTGAATCCCCTGCGTCCAGAATAGTGTCTAAAAACAGCAGGTGCTCAATCAATATTTGACAAATTAACTAAAATAAAGATGGGAATTCCCTCCGCACACCATCACACAAGTGCTGTCTGCGCCAAGTAGAGAACGAGGCACGGCCCAGCCCCACAGGGGCCGTCAGCCCTGCAGGGGACAGAAAACCAGTAAAAGCACCCACAGATTCCACAGCTTTTCCAGGGGCC